GTGTAGATCGATTCAGCTGGTCCACTTGGGTGGCAGTCTAACTTTACTCTGATCTGGTTTCTTTAGTAGTTTAGCTCTTAGAAGCCTGGGATTGTTGCTGTATTGCTGTACTTTTAAAACATATGTACGTAATTATGTAATTACATAAGTTAAAAGCTGTACTTTATTATTATTATTTTTTAGAGTTAATCATGATTAATTTCATTTGTCTTATTTGCTCAAATTTTACCCTAAAGAGAGATTTTTGTTTCATTTCAAAAGCAAGACATTTTGCTGTATGAGTGGACTAAGTGAGCTTCATCAGAATTTTTGTAATTATTGTTGCTCACAATAATTCAGTAACATTATTTTTATTACATGAACGCAGGGTTTACATGTACCAAACATTATTATGTCATTTCCATAGGTTGAACACAGTTTCCCATGTTCATCATCAGTGTCCAGTGAGAGCGACAGAGGCTGCATGTTCCTACAACTCCGTGATTGTAGGCCTTTTGCTCTCATACTGGCATGTTACATCTTGTTTTGAGGGAAGCTGTGCTTTTCCACTTTGCAGTTGCTGTTGTAAGTTTGCTGTAGGCCTGAGCAATTTGGTGATGTTCATCATTATCATGATAAATTACGTCACAATATGCTTTTTCGGGCGTATTGTGGATATCGTCAGTGCTTAAAGTGTACTGCACAAAGCGCACGTTTCATTACAATGAAAGCATCAGTAGGCCTGTTTAATTGACATTGATGAAGCGCAAGATCTAAAATGTTGTACACAAATTATCGTGGTCATAGTTTGAGATACTTTTTTGTCTGTTCCTGTTATCTTGATATTATATTTTTGCCATATCGGCCACAACTAAGCTGCGTTCCAAAGCCTAGGCTGCAGCCGAAGTGGTGCGGGTCCTCGGTAGGACTGTCCTATGAAAACTCCTCCTTGGTAGCCTGTTGGTCACACAAAGGAACAGTCCTAACTAGGCTATGTGTAGATAGAGCTGGGCGATATGGCCAAAAATGTTATCACGATAAACAAAATTCATATCGTTCGATATCGATACATACCGCGATAAATGTCAAATCATTATTTCTTTCAAGTTTTAAGGCTGATTTTTGCTCCTGGGTGGTTAACTGCTGTTTTAAACTATCCTTTATGGTCGGATCATGACAAACACTCGGCCAACAGTGGAACATTTCACAAATCTGTCATGGGAGAAAGTGTCTGCTGAGCTGTTTTTACCAGCTGGAAAAGCATGGGTATTTTATAATAGTCATAATTTAAGAAAGACAACATTATTTTTAGCTGGTGACGAGCGCTCGGCTACCCCGCTACAAATGACATCACAGTATTCAGACACCAGCTAGGCGACTGGATTTCTCTATACTATCGTAGTAGTTTAAGTGGTGAACCGCAAAATATCAACACCAGACAAACAGAGTCCTCCTTTTAGGTACGTTTAAACTGAAAGCGGTGCTTTTGTCTCGTGTTTGATCTACAGTATCATCAATTCTCCATGTTGTGGAGTGACGGAGCGCTGCTTCAAGTTAGCCAGCTGCTAAAAACAGCTAGTCTGGAAAGCTAGCGCTCTCCCGCTCTCCACTGCCTCACAGCTCCTCAGTTTACTTTCGGTTAAATCAGGGCTGTAATTTACATGAACTCACTTCTTTCTTTCACTTTGTTGCTTGTGAATGCACTAATACTAGAATATGACTGTCCGAGAGCTGTAACAGCGCTGTAGTTGTGAGGATTGTGATTTAACGCTGCTAAAGCTGGTTAGGATGTACAGAAAGAGGTGAGTTTGCTGTAGGACAGTATAGTTACACCACTGACCTCGTCACTCACACTCGGTCACAGGAGATCAGATCGCTGGTCGCTCCACTCAAACAGGGAATGTGTAACTCCGCGTTTCAGCCGTTGCTAAAGACTCATCTTACTCGTGGCCCCCTCCCTCTCTAATCATGTAGAAAAACTCGGAAGTGCGCCCTCTCCTGGCGACAGCAGAGTAGTGTCGCTTTCCTTGCAGTAGAAAACGCCACCAAGGCTTTCGCTGAACGTGGAAGTATGAGAGTGGTGTATTATATCGAACATTTATCGAACATGTCGTATCGCTCTATCGAGGAAAAGTTATATCGCGATAATTATCGTTATCGTTTTATCACCAGCCCTATGTGTAGATGTCACCAGAAAGGTCACACCTCTTGAAATTACGGTGTGAAACTGGAGCCAGTTGAATTGTGTTTATGCTATTGTAGCTAATAAGCCAACAAGCGAATGTAGTACGATTAATATACGAAATATTGCCAAATGCTTTAATTAATTGGTTTACACATTATAAGATAATGAAGACGAATTCAGGGAGGTGAACAATTTACATTTTAAAACAAGCTCTGCTCCAACAGCTCCGCGTTCCACCATTTTCGTGGTGCTGTTTTTTTTCCTTCGTGTCATTAGTAGGCAGAGATCTGTGGGTAACTGAAGGCCTGGAAGGATTCATCAGTTGCGTCCTCGAAATCACTCCGAACGTAGGCTGCATTTCTAGACTGTATACGAAGGGTCCTTCACTTTGGAACGGCCTTCTATGATATAGCAGCCAAGAAACACAGCCTACCTCGGCTGCAGGCTAGGCTTTGGAACGCAGCTCTAATTTGCTGCTAGTTGGTTGTTTTTCTGCGAGCACTGTCCAGCATAGTCTGTTGAATTACTGACATTACCACATCAGCAGTTCTTGTAAATGATACTTCAGACTCGATTTGCTTCAGTGATACACAAATCCACAACATTGCTGTAACCGCTGGTTTATTTTCAGAGGTCTGAAGGTTCAAACTAGAAAAAAATGCATTAATCCCATTAAAAAATTTGTGACGTTAATAATTCATAGCATTAACATAATCAATGTGTTAACCTTGACACTGCAAATAATTACGCAATTACTTAGTTATGTGAGGAATTACATTTAAATCGATTTGAATTGTGTATATAAAGGTTCTAGTCTTCACTTTCGAACTTGACATTTTGTTTCAATGTCAAAAAAATGACAAAATATGGTAGAAATGTAAAGGACGGTTTTCCTTTTCGCAAAACAGGACTGTTCACACATTACCGTAAATGATTAACACTCAGTAACATTTACGCTTAACTCAGGCTGTTCTGCATGACTGTAGATGAAACCATTACCTCATTCTTTTGGTTCATTGTTTTAACCTGGCCGTTCTTGCCTTTCCAGCAAAAGTGTGTTTCAGCCCTGTTTCAGTGTTCATCGCTTTGTTGTGATTTCAGTGGCGAGCATTATTATTGGTCTGATGAACCTCAGTGCGGAAGCTAAGACGGGCTCTGCCATTAACAGTGACACTCTCTTAGCTGCAAGCAGAGCTCTTAAAGGTCAGTGTGTGCGCTGGGGACAGCTGTGATAAACCCAAAGGTTATCCTGCTGCATCTTTCAACCCCTGGAAATGACAGCAGCTCTTTCAGTAAACTGCATCTGGACTCTTTTGTTAACTGGGTGCAGAACAACTGGACACCAGTGTCAACATTGATTGAGTCTTTATTTTGGCACTTTTTCATACACAAGGAAAGATCTTTATGCTGTCCAGTTTGCTGTAGGAATTTTATTTTTTATGAAATATGAAAATATTACCCTCTTAATATTTACAAGGGAGTTCTACCATGGCTCTGGGAAGGCTTTATGGCTGTAGAGGGCTGAGGAACTGAAACCTGAAAGCTTTTCTAAATGGCAAATATTTTTCTCTTTCTTGATGCATTGTGCCAGGATTCTTTATGCCAGCAAAGCTCAAGTTTCAGCTCTTTTCCAGCCCAGACGTTCCGGTCTCACACGCACGCGCGCACTCATACATGCATGCACTCATGCACGCATGCTTCCAGTGCTACACGAAGTGTTACACGAAGGCTCAGACAGGGAAAACCTACCATATGCAGCATACCAAAATACCCTGTTAAATGATATATGGGTTTATTTTGCTGGTTTTCAGACACTCCAGGTGTGTGTTTGTCATAGACGGAGTTCATTAGGAGCCTTTTCCTCCATAGACACAACATGCTGAATCATATGTCTAACTGTGGGAGAGAATTGGGCAGAGATTCACACTGCACTTTGGCCTGATTACGCTTTATTATGTTAACAGTCTGAATCAAGACCGCTCTGGGAATAGTCTCGCCCTCACCTACTAAATAGTGTTAGGTCAAGTAAACACTGTAAAAAGAAATTGATGAAGCTTTACAAGATCATTGTTAGTCTTTTGTTATCCATAATGATGATGGTAATGAAAGTTGAGTACTATCATAGCAGAGATCTCTAATGAAGAAATGAAGATGATTATTACGGCAGTGGTTTGCTTTGTTAGGAATTACAAGGAAGACCTGTCTAGCTTTTGGTTTCTTTTGTTTAAAATTGGTGCTATTAGTAGAGATGTACTGATACAGCATAACATCATATTGTTGCATAATCGTTGCTGCAGGAAGTCGGGGTACTTGGCGGGGCCTCAGCAGGAAAATGGGGAAAAAAAATGGAAAACTTAATAAAAGTCTAAATAGAAATTATGTTAAATATTTATTATTAGATAAATGTGGCTGTAACAGTATAATATCTTGATAACAAAAATAATTTTATATCTGGTTTTCCAAGCTTTATACAGTTGACCGTTAGCTGAAATGTTAGCCACTTTGCTTCACAAGAACAAATCCACCAGCCCGATGATGCTTGACAGGCTAATGTGCATTGGTGGTGCGCATTGATGCTTTTGCTATACATTCTCATTAGATAGGCTACCTGTTGCCACTAATGGTATATATCCAACTGATGGCAAGACAACATTAACCAACTAGCGTTCCGGGTGCTAAAAACGCAGATGATGATACAAAGATGGAAGTGTATCAAAGTCAAATTCAGCTGTAGTTACTCGAGTTCATCAAATGCTGTAAATGATGCACTCATTTGTTTGAATGAAACACTATACGACAACAGTGAGGATCATGACTAAAATCTACACATTTGCAGGCTATTGATGGGTGGTGCTAGAAGACCAAGTGTGTGAAGACTCCAGATCTGAACCAGAAAAGGGAAGCACACACCGCAAAAATGAGTAAGTTCTTTTAATTTTCATAATACACTTGGTAAGATAGTTATGCACCGAGCTCATTAATGTACAGTAATAGATTAATAAATGCATTGTAGTATGGTTCTTCTGCTTAAAAAAAATCTGAGAGACAGAGTGAAAAGCTTAGCAGCAGTGAGAATGCCTGAAGAAGAGAAAGAGTGAGAGAGAAAGACATTACTGACGCGCAGTCAGTATTGTTGGCTTCATAGTGTGTACTGGACCCAGTGGCAGGTTTGCTGGTTAGATGAGGCTCCTCCGGTTCTCTCTTGCTCTCTCTCTCTCTCCAGAGGTGTGTGAAGTCTGTCCAAGCTACACAGTGGGAATATTTTCCCTCCGTGAGCAAGCAAAGCCAAGACACAGCTCACACTCTCACTTCAAACATGAGAACAAAGATCTCAAAAACATGGCAATCTCTCTCTCACACAGGCTCCGTTACACTGGCATACGGCTCACTGAGTGTGTGTATGTGTGCGAGGACAATCTAATTTAGACAGGAGTTACAAAACAATTCCGTTGCAGCTTCACTGTTTCAAGCAGAAAACATTTCTGAGCAGCATGACACACTGAAGATGCTGAAATGAGTTCATTTTGTCATTTTAACCTATAGAAGTAAAGTTACTACTTTCATTTTGCTATACTATTCGAAATACAAACGATGAATTATGTTTGTATTTGATTTACATTCTGTATTGACAGCTCTGATTCTGTGTTTGTAACCTTTTACTTTGTTTTTTCAAATCAAACAGTGGCAAAAAAACATAACCTTAATATAAAAGATGTTTTTTCCTTCCACAAAAAAAGACCATGTGCACTTTTCAACTTTCCATAAAATTCAGTTCCTCTTGTACTTGTGAACTCAAATTTAGTGTGGCTGGAAAATTTTAAATCTTCACTTTATTCAGAATTTCTCAGCTTGTTTGAATGAGGTTTGAGAAATAATTTCATATAAAATTACATTTGTTATCCCTAGCAATAACTGACATCTTTAACCTCGTAAATGTCCAGGGTTCCATGCCCAAAGTTTTGATACACACGTCTATAACCGTATATAGAACAGCTTACATTGAAGTTGCTGTAGTTACTGAATAAAAAGCCTAAGTATGTAATAAGCCTGGGATTTTAAAGGGGTTAAAAGGTTGCATTATGTAAGGATGCACCTATATGTTAATCATAGGTCAATATCTGACAGTTTTCGTGTAAATATCTGCCAAAGCTGGTGCCGATGCTGATATACAAACATTTATAAAATATAAAAATTCAAATAAAGCTCAAATGGCGTAATAGAGAAATATAATATTTATTTATAAAGGGTTACAGATGGAGTAAAAGTAATAAAATGTAGATATTTTAGCACAATAGCTTAGGGTCACCTAAATGTTCTGCTGTTCCAGAGCACAGTAAGTACATTGTCAAGTATCGGTTTGAAATATCAGTCAAATCTAAACATTTGTTCTACGTCAGTATAAATATATTTTTAAAGCAATTACCTGCAGGTACAGATAAAATTCTGGTATCATTGTGCATCCCTAACATTATGACGGGTTAAATAATAGGTCATCTGTTCTGTTTACTCTCTTAGTAAAAGGTCAGTGTCACTTTTGTCCTTTTATTTCATTCTTTCATTTTCCTATGTAGATGAGAGACAGGCTCTCCATTCTATAATGAAGGACCTGGTGGCCCTGCAGATGACCAGGCGGCAGCCCATGTCGACTTACGACACGGCCAAAGCCAAGCCTGTTAACACTGCCAGCACGACCAACAGACAGGTAACACACACAAATATGGGTGCCAGATTTCATGTGGAGTGTGACCTTTGCAACTACTGTATAAGCTCGCAGTGACACTCTCCTTTTCTCCACCGCCAGGATGACGTCAGAATTAAGTTTGAGTTCAGTGGAGAGAGAAGGTGAGTGTAAATTATTGTGTGTGTGTGTGTGTGTGCGTGCGTGTGCGCGCGCGTGTGTGTGTGTGTGTGTGTGTGCGTGTGCGCGTGTGTGTGTGTGAGGGGACTATTGTAAAGAAATGCAGAAACAAAAATGGGATGCATACACATGCAGTACAGTAAACACAGATAATTCTTTCTTCAAATAACTTGCATGGAGACTCATCATGCAAAAATCTGGGCGCCCCTGGCCAAATTACATATGTTGTTGATTTTTTTAAAAGAAAAGAATAAACACATTCTCTGCTATTTAAACTGTTTAACTATGTAAACAATAACCTTTTTGTGCAAATAGTAATGCACAGCTACGTTTACATTTGATTCACTTAAAACAGGAAAAAAAAGAAAATAGTTGCATGTGCAAAAGGTTCCAATCCTCAAGTCTCAGAATTTAATTAACTTAAACAGGCCAAGAATTGTCATTTGGAATTGTCAGCAGGTGACATTTGAGCTAATAAAATCTCTCAAGCCTTGTGCTAACACTGGACAACCATGCTTGTCCTCTAAGTAGCTGGCAAAGAATCTGAAAATTATGCCAGTTGATGCCTACAAAGCAGGGAAAGGCTATAAAGAGATATAAAAGCTCTTCCAGGTGAAAGTTTCCACTAAATTGTCATTGAGATATAGCAGTTAAGGGGAACTGTGAAGACAAGGCAAGATCTGGAAGAACAAGAAAACCTGCAGATAGAACTGCTCATTTACTGGCCAAAATGGCAAAGCAAAACCCCCTTATGACAGCAAAGGAGCTGCACATGACTTTAAAGACTTTAAAGTGACCTTATCAAAAAAGTACATTTCTAATTTCTAATATATGCGAAACAACGTCTGGATAAGCCAGAGGCGTTTTGGAAACAAGTGCTATAAAAAATGCAACTCTTTGGCTACATTCACCAGAAGTCTGTTTGGAGAAAAAAGGAGCAGCATTTCATGAAAGAACACTTTTCCAACTGTTAAGTGTGCGTGGGTGTCTTATGTTTTTGGGGTTGTATTGTAGCCAGAGGCACAGGAAACATTGCGCAGGTAGATGGAAGAATACTTCACTAAATATCAGCAAATTCTACAAGCAAATGTGACCCGGTCGTATGAGAAACTGAAGCTGAAAAGAAACTGGCTTCTGCAACAGGACAGTGATCCAAAACATATTTAATAATCTACCATGAATTACTGCAAGCAGCGCAAGCTGAAGCTTTTGGAATGGCCTTCACAGTCCATGGACTGGAACATCATTGAAAATCAGTGGGTAGATGCTGTGCATACAAGACGGCCCGAGAATATTACAGAACTAGAAGCGTTCTGTAAGGAAGTGGGTGAAAATTCGCGAAACAGGAATATAAAGACTTCTAGCTGGGCTACAGAAGTGTTTGCAAGCCGTTATATCTGCCAGAGGTGGTGTTACTAAGTACTAAGTGTCCAAACTTTTGCACATGCCACAATTATTACTTTATTTATTTTTTTAACTTAAAAGTTCATCAAACGAAAAACAACTGTGCATTAACGTTTGCAGAAAAAAAAATAATTTGCTGCAGAGGTTGTATTTACTTCTTTTCACTTAAAAAACATCAACAAAATATGTAATTTGGCCAGGGGTGACCAAACATTTGCATACAACTGTACATAAACAGACAGAAAAGAGTACAAATAAACTCTTACAGTACACACACACACACACACACACACACACATTCCCTAGCTCAGCTCTCAGACTGGTATTTGAGTGGAAAGGGAAAAGACTGTGGTTTGCCTGTGGCTGCCAGGAGAAACCACAACTATGCTAGGTGTGCTTTCAGGAATCTGTGTGCACTGCAACTCTCAGCTCCTGTGTGTGTATGTATATGCAGTTTTAAGTTACACATCTGAAGAAGGCCTAGCTTTGTTTTTAATGCCCCCTCTGTATGTGTATGTTTATGTGTACGTGTAGGATACTTATGTTTGGTCGGCCTGTGCAGTTTGAGGAAGTCCAGCAAAAGGTCAAGACTGCCTTTGGACAGCAGCTAGACCTGCACTATATTAATAATGAGGTACTGATCTACAAACACACAAAATCGCATAGATACACAGATAATTGATCTCATTTGACGAGGTTGTTGTTTAATCCAGTGTATCTTGAACATTTTGTTTTCATTTCTTTAAAATAGAAATATGTCCCATTTTTTTACAAATGGAAATACACCATTATAAAGTTTTTAGCCTTAATGTTACTCCTTTTATTTCATCACAGAACATTTTCTAACGTTTGTGTTTGTAAGTTAAGTAGTGCATTTTAGAGACAGGTATCTAATTACCATGTGTGTTTGTGCATAGATGTCCATTCCTCTACGAGGTCAGGATGACTTGGACAAGGCCATTGACCTTCTGGACCGCAGCTCTAACATGAAGAGCATAAAGATCCTGCTAATGACTCAGGAGCACAGTAATGTAAGTAACAAACACACACATACCCAGACTAATCAAGACATCAAACACAGAGTGTTAATGAGAGATGTGTGTTCTGCTCTGCAGGTGTCTTCACCGTCTCATCACACTGGATGTAAGCAGGTTCGAATCAAAGCATCTCAGTCAACAGGGGATGTGAGCACGGGTTATCAGTCTTCAGAGCCCCGGGGACGCCACCCATCCACAAGTGAGTGCAAACACACACACGAGGTCAGAAATGAACATGGGTACAAGGCAAAAATGACCCCAGAAATTTTAAAAAGTGCTTTAGAAATGTAAAATTGCAGCAGCACAAATGCTTTAGTAATGAAGCCCAGTTGACACTGTTCATGGATGCTAGCGATGGCACCAATATGATACCAGATAGATCGTATTGGTATCATGCCAGTGTCAGCAAAAAAAGCTGCATTAGATATCGGAGAGATCTAATAGCTATCTGTATAGTTCTTCCTGTGGGGTAACAGAATGTTTTGAATAGTTTAGACATAATAGCTTTAGATGCAAGATTGTTTTAAAGGGGAATTCCACTGATTTTTCAAAATTCCTGTTTCTTTTTCATGTAAAATAGACACATAGACAGACAGACAGATAGATACTTTACTGATCCTGAAGGAAATTTGGCAGCCAGTAGCAGTCACACACAGGACAGTTATAATAATAACGGTGATGCAATATAAAACAAACATTATATACAAAAAACCTACCTACAGGCATATGTACAACTAGAGATATACAAAAATATGCAATAAGATCTGTCCTGAGATAAAAAAGTGCGATAATGAATGTACAAGGAGGTGCAAGTAACTACATATACTGACAACACTGAATAAATATGTTAAAATATAATATATATGCATATATTTAATGGTGCACTGTAGATCAACTCTCTGACTTAGATTTCTTGAAAGTGGTAATGGTAGGAACCAGGGGTCACAACACAGATATACCCATTTTATCTCAAACATTGCTTGACCATACACATGTCTTCTGAGTTTTATATGTAATGCTGATGGTGGTTAAATGGTGGTAATACGTTTTTTTGGCACTATTTTGCCTTACAACGCCCTGTATGTACTCCTCCATCATGGATTTTGAAAAATAAACTTTAAGCCAAAACTGATCTCATAACTGTTGTAAAACATCATGCACGTACCTTTTCATGAGGGCGCTTTAAGAGGCATTAAACTCCTCTAATGTCTGGTTCCTATCACCAGCGCTGTGCACAAATCTAACTCCGTAAGTTTCTATACAGTTTCATCTCTCGTCAAACCCCTCTGAATTACTTTGTTAACAGCTTAAATATTTAATTATACTGAAACTTTAACAATTTGGTGAGATTTCCCTTTAAGTGAAGTGCTACTCATTTTAAAGCTTAGTGGTGTTTAAAAAGGACAGAGATTTTAACAAAATAAAAATGTGTGTAAAATTGCAAGCAGTTAGCTGCTTGCGTACATGACCATTCTGCTGTCAACATAAGCCAATTGAGGAACACATCATTCTGATTATAAATATCTGGTTTTAAAGGATAGTTAGGTTAGATAGAGTTAGTACTGGTATCAGTGCTGGGTAGCAAAATTTAAGGATCAGGTATTGGTATCGGTATTGGAAGGTAAAACGTGTTATCTGTGCATCTCTAATAGCAATTCTATTCAGTCAAACAGAGTAAAGTCAACATATACGGTCTTCGGTAGCAAATGTCAACTTTTTTGCCTCCTCGTGATAACTAACTGGCTCTCTGGAAGTTCAGTAATAGCCCTGTGTGGCACTATAATAACGAGTAAATATCAAAACAGATTCTCTGTGTTTTGAAGGCTGTGTTTCTCTACTGGCTCATGTTGACAGAACAGTGCTCATGTACGTAAGCAGCTAACTAAAAGAGGAAAGAGTAACGAGGAATTAGGGGAACAGGAAGATGTTCAAAGTGCCTTGCATTACTCTCTGGTATTGTGTCATGGCTCTCTCTTTCCAGTGCTTGGACCCTGCCTGGCTCTGTTCATTTGTTTCTGTTGCTTATTAACCTTAGCAGTTTACCTCCTTCTCTTCCCCTATCTCTCCGCTTCATTCTTTTTTCTCTCTCCTTATGTTCTTTTCTCGCTTTCCTTTTCTCCCTCTCTCTCCTCTCTCTTTCTCCCTCTGTCTGTTGTTCCTCTAACTTCCTCCGTGAGCACTGGGTCCTCTTCCTTTTCCTGTCCACCATCACTAGCTGCTGCACAATGGCCTGCTGGCGTCTAGCCAATCAGATTGTGAGACACTATTAGCGTGGTGAGCCAGTGGCCTGGTTCAGAGATTGTGTTTGGGGGGAAGGGGAGGCTGTTTCAGCTTGTGAGGCCTGGAGAGAAGCAGGACTTCTTAGAGGGTCTGTGTCTGGAGGAAAGAGACGTTTGTTTATAGTTGTGCTTAGTCTAATGATTCAGCGTCTCTGCTTTCTGATAGCTGAATTCTGATCTTGTCCCAGTGGGTCTGTTGCACAGACTCTTTCACAAGCTGTTTTCATGCTGATGCTGTCCGTACGAGCTCTGTTTCGGCTCTTTCAGTGAATACAGATTTATTACATCATACTTCAGCTGGTCAGCATAAGGCTTCTTTCAGACATGGCCTTCATGGCTAAGTACATTTAGGCAGTATGTCTCACGCACCCAAAATAATTGTATTATTCCACAAGTGAGAATAGTGGATTTGGATTTTTGTGGTAAGCCTAAGCAGCGTAAAGTTCAGTATGCTGATATTGGGTACTTATTCAGAGGTCATTTTAAAGGATTATATGTGTTTGTAGCACGGCATGCGCTACCCCGGGCTCGAGGACGCCGGAGGCAGGGTTCAGTGTTGCAGCAGCCGTGTTACTTTATTTCTCCACCAAACACAACAAATGAAACAAAACCAAAACCTATGCTGCCCACTTTTCAGTGGCTTCTAGCTGGACTTTTCAGTCCTTTTCTCACTCGAGCTTTTCAGCTCTGTAGTCCTCGGTTGTTCGCTGCTGCTGGAGGTCCCCCTCTCTCTCTGTTCCCTCTCTGCTCTTTTTAAAAGTCGCACCTGAGCCGAGAGGGAACGAGAGCTCGCTGCTTTGCCTCCTCGTCACTGCCCCTGCTCCACAGCTCGGATCGAACGTGAACCAAATTCGATCCCCCCGGATCGAATGTGAGGCAAATTAACGTGGCCTCACTACGGGACTGGAGGCAGCGCCCAGGAGGCAGGGCTCGGGACTTGCGCACCGTCCCCCATCACTCGCTGTTCTCTTCCCACCGTCCTCACCGGGCTTCGTCCCTGCTTGAAGCTCGGGCTCCGCCTTCCTGCTGGCTCTCGCAGCCACCATCAGAGCCCGGGGGACGGGCGCATGCCACAGTGTGTTTTCTGTCAATAATTCCTAAAGAAAATTCTGCAATTCATTCTTTTTAAATGCTCTGTTGTTGTGGCTAGGGCTGCACAATTATAGACAAAACTCCATATTATAATTGATGTTATAATATGCAATTTTATATCTTGCAATATATTAGAAATACATCAATACTGCTACATGTAATCCTTGGTGAGATTTTTAGCATTGGCAAAAATAATTTACATTTGTTGTATTATATGAAGTGCACTCATTTAGATGGTCCGTGATTAGTTAGGATGCTTACAGCGCATAATTAACAAGAAGATCGTTTGTTAGAGTCACAGTTTGCATATTGCAGTCTTCTGTTATTTCAGTATTGTAGGCCAGCGTTGTGATAATGATTAACAAACAACATATTGTGCGGCCCTAGTTCCTGTTCACTATTTCATGTAGTTGTGAGCCAGTCATATCTTCTGTATATGATACCTCTCTGTGATTGATGCATCTGTAACATATCTACTCCTCTGCTTTCTCAGGCTCACAGAATACTGGGCGGAGCTCTCCACCCCCTGGTTACGTTCCGGAGCGTCAGCAGCGAATTGCGCGCCAGGGATCCTACACCAGCATTAACAGTGAGGGAGAGTTCATACCTGAGACCAGCGACCAGTTAGTGAGTGACCACACGCGCACACACTCTGCACCTTCATATGGCACATTCCATTGACAGATGTGCAGGTGTGCAGAGATAAACCTTGCAATTACGTGAATGACAAAAAATAAGATGGCTAAAATCTGCTCTGCCTTCAGGTCCTTGATCCATGGAGCAGTGCAGAGAACTCAGTGTCTGGGAGCTGCCAGTCACTTGATAGCAACTCAGACAGGTCAGAAAATGTAACAGTCTCACACAATGTTATAGATAAAATAGGGATTTATCGATTTACATGTTGGTTTCTCTCCTTCCTGTAGTCCCTCACTCAGAAAGTCTCGCATGCACAGGGCCAGGAGTTATCCTGACAACAGGCAGGACTGCGCAGGTGAGGCAGGACTGTGGATGCTTGTTGTCGTAGCAACTAATTTACTTAATTTCTGATTTACTTCTCATTCATGTTTAAGGTAGCAAAAGGAAGCTGAAGTCTTGTACTAGGGCTGCACATATATTGTTTAGTAATTGTTATTGTGGTTCTAGCTTTTGCAGTAATGATATCGCAGGAGGCTGTGATGTGCAAAAGAGCCTTGGAACCTGTAATGTGAGCTAGGGGTGGGCAATATGGCAAAAATATAATTTCACAATATTTAAAAATGTTTTCACAAGACATACCACAATATTTTGACACACAGACACTAAGCACATTTAAAAGCAGCCATCAAAAACTCTGGGTACAATGAATTTTATTTATATTTATATGATATTTATTTCACATATTGTGCTGTACTAAGTCCAATAAAACAGGACTAAGTATGTTTTTTTATATTGAAGTTCGCAGTTGGTCAGTGTTCTTTAAGTACAGACAAAATCCACAATATGCTTAGAAACGTATATTACAGTAACAAAATTAATCACGATAATGATAAAGTATTGTCACATTGCCCATCTCTACTGCGGTGTTTCTCTGGGTGTTTAATTCTTGTAATCTTACAAAAGTAAATCTTTAACATCACAGTAGATTGCAGAGAATTTCGCAATAGCAATATGAAGCAGTATAATAACAATAGTAGTATTTTGTTCATTTCACGCAACTGTATCTTATACTAGGCACACTGTTTAAAGAGTGGAGATGAGTAGTGTAGAGCTCTTATGCTGATGCTGCTTTCCTTGTTTTCTCAGACCGGGAAAACCATGTATATGACAAGGTTGTTGGAAAAGGAGGAACGTACCCACGGAGATACCACGTCTCCCTGCATCACAAAGACCTCAGTGAGGGTATAAGACACTTATTCATATGTGCTTAATAAAAACAGACAGACAAGGCCTGGTGCATCTGACTTAATTTGTGCTTTCCTGTGCAATCTCAGGTCGGCGCACATTTCCAAGGATACGCCGCCCCCAGGGGAACCTGTTCACACTAGTGCCGTCCCGCCGATCACTCAATGGCAGCGAGGAAAGTCTAGGCACCTGGCAGCTGGTGGATACTCAGTCCAGGCTTCGCCCACAGGACCGCCCAGTTCCACACAAGTGTAAGTCTAATCCTGAGTTTTTATTTTCACAAAAAAGAGGAAGGAAATATGCTCAGCTGTGAGCACTTTATGGGTGCAAGGTATTCAGACTCAATAAATGAAAGTAAAACCTACACTCACTAATGCCAGCTAGCCTTTACTGCACATTGTCTTGGATGTTTGAAGCAACAGAAACGTGTCAGTTTAGTGCAGATTGTGCAAATGTTGTAATAGTAATAGAATACTATTGCGCCAAGTTTTTCTTTGCAGTATTTAATAATAATAATATGAATGATAATGATGAATGATTTAGTACTATGGTAGTTGTGTAAATTGCTTTTGTGCATAATATGCATTATGCACAGCTACATGGTGCCTGTGATTAACGTCATTTCATTGTTTATCGTTTGTGGCTATTGTGTGTTTATCTGAAATGTGTGTGTCCAGCCCCCACGGCACCAGTGACATGGCGGAGGGGGAAACTGTTGGGGCAGGGAGCATTCGGTAGAGTTTATCTCTGCTATGACGTTGACACAGGCCGGGAACTGGCTGCCAAACAGGTCCAGTTTGACCCAGCAAGCCCTGAGACCAGCAAGGTACAACACATACAAACATACATTCATATATACATACACACTGGAGGCTGTATGTTTTTTCAGTTGTCCTAAGCCTGAAATGTATTGTTTCTGATGAAGCTCTGCAAAATGTTCCCATGAGGTCATTAGTTTGGAACTTTACTATCCATGTTGGGGAAAAAAGGGAATAAAAACATGTGGGAATGCAGGTTCTACAGTTGGCAGGTACCGTATGAGTTTATCGAGGTTGATCTGAAACAACTGTTATGTAACTACTCCTAGCTTTGGGGCTGTGAAAAAGAGGCTACGAGTTTGCTAGCATTTTTCCTTGTCTTTGTTCGCTTGGGTTTTCACTCTCCATGTCACTCTCCTGCTCCCCCCAACTCCCCACTCACTTAAATCTTTTCCTGTCTGCCACTGCAAAAACACGCACTGTCACTTCCTGTATCTGTGAGAGAGTGTGTGTTTGTGAGATGGGGGTTGGGACTGGGAATCATGGGGGAAAATATAGTTATTTTCTTTTAGTTAACTGGTTCTATTGCATACACACACAGAAACATGTGCAAACAAAGATTTTCATCTGGGTCTTTATATTTCCTTGATACACAAAAAACGACCCCCAGATGTACCTGGTGTGTGTTCCAGGGTTGCTTTTTTATTTTTCTTTTTTCTCATCCACTTGTGCACCATACTCTGAGCATGCCCAAAAGCCTGAGACTGAACTCTGGGACGTTTCTGTTCTCTGCTGAAGTCCATTGTCTTTCTCTTTTCTCCTGCTGTCTTCCTGCAGGAGGTCAGCACTCTGGAGTGTGAGATTCAGCTGTTAAAGAATCTTCATCACGAGCGCATTGTGCAGTACTACGGTTGCCTTAGAGACCACAACGAAAAGACCCTCACTATCTTCATGGAGTACATGCCTGGGGTGGGTCCTGCTGTTTAACTAACGTGTTGGCGGCAGTGAAGCTTATGTCTTTGTCTCATTTAGCTCATTAAAATCTGCCCCCAGATTAGTTTGGATGCATGCATGTCCGCGTTGGTCATAGTAAAATGGATCAGCATATGGAGCTGGAGATTTCTGTGTGCTGCTGTGTTTTCTATCAATACATGAAAGATGCCTTTATTGTTGGATGCACTGCAATTAGTGCCTGAGTGAGCATGTGTGCACAACAAAATTTGATCTTATTTTTTGATTATTTTTTCAACAGAGTAACAAAAGAAAGGCACCCGATATGTGTAGTTCTAAGCATTCATTAGTGGCAAAAAATAACCCATTTCTGGCTTTGTTAGACCATATTCTTAATCAGTGGGGAAGAATAGATTATGATGCAGAAATAGTTGTTTTTTGCACCTGCATAATATGGTTAGCAGAGCAGGTTGGGCTGCAGGGACAGAGTAGAGAAGCTGAGAGGCAGCATTGTTTTTACATTTGTAAATGATAGTCCTCTGAAGAGTTCTGTAGAGTGAGGTAATACAATTTAGTTTTACTTCTGTCCCATTTCAAACTAGTCAGTTTTGATTTAGTTTTAGATTTTAATCATGTTTACGACCACACATTTCTCTCCAGGGTTCCGTCAAAGACCAGCTGAAGGCCTATGGGGCCCTGACTGAGAATGTGACGCGCAAATACACCAGACAGATCCTGGAGGGCATGTCCTACCTGCACAGCAACATGATTGTCCATAGAGACATCAAAGGTACAACGTGGCCCACTGAGATGGATTCTAAACAGCTCTGGCAAGACTAAAGCTGGAATAGCTCTTGGCACACAAATGCTAAATGTAGTTCTGCCGTTATCTTCTCATGTGCTGTTATGTGGTGGTGTGTTTAGGTGCCAACATCCTGAGAGATTCTGCAGGGAATGTGAAGCTTGGAGACTTTGGGGCCAGCAAGCGGCTGCAGACCATCTGTATGTCCAGTACAGGTGTCCGCTCAGTCACTGGGACGCCTTACTGGATGAGTCCGGAGGTCATTAGTGGGGACGGTTATGGCCGCAAAGCCGATGTCTGGTGAGTTCGACTTTACTAAACAGTTAACAGCTTCAGCCCTATTGGAGCTGGATTTGTTTTGCCTGAGGAGATCCCTTAAATTTAAGTGATCACCAGTAAGATTGATCATTTTAATCCAATATAAATCTGCAGTGTGTTTAGTTTTTAAAGTCTGACAGTAATAATTGTGGAGCGGTCTTCTGTAATTGACAGAACCCGGAGCTCCCTCAGTTATAGTCCTGTTTCAGTCCACCTCATGCTAACAGAATAGCAAAACCTGCTAATAGAGACATCCATGCGACTTGTTATAATTGTTACTTAATATGTCCTGTAGCGTAACCAACATGTACGTCTGGGTTATCTGTGGGAATCTGGGGACGTTGCACAGATGTTGGCCAAATTACATTATATAATGTCCTTCGGTAAATGAAATCCAGCTCCAAAAGTGCTTTGAAACAATATATTCTAATTTATCAAAGATGAATGTTTGTAATTAGCAGGGTATCAACTAAACCGTTCAATGTTTCTGTCTGAACAATGAACTTTAAAAGTGCCTTTTTGAAAAAGCCTCAGCATAAAGGGTCAAGAAATCAAAAGTCTGATGCCCATATAAGTGTGTCTTTGATACAGAGACAGTGGAACATTGGGAGAAAATTCCACTTATCCGTCTGAGACAGGAATGAAAATGGCCAACGAGCACCAGATGAATGAGTGAATTCATTGTAGTTATAAGCAGGATCTGATATAATAACTCATTTTATAGTGAAACAGCCAGCATAACTATGTGAACTAATATGGAAAATGAAGGGCAGGAATTTTTGAGAAAAAAGAGGCGTTGTTAAAGGGTAAAATGTAATGGACCAAATAAAGATTTCTGAAGGAGAAAGCCTATTTTAAAAAAGGGAAAGGGGAACAGGGCTATTTTTAAGGACGAGAATATACAACAGGCCCATACTTCCACACATAAACTCTCCATAGGAGGAGCTTACCTGCTGTCAAGGGATCCCCCTTAACAATCTGATTGGACACCGTCCCATCAGCCGAGGGATATGATTGGCTGAGAGCCAGCCAGTTGGCACATAAAAGTGGTCTGGAATGTTCCGAGTTGAGTAAAGTCCCGAGGGGTCTTTGTGGGGAAAGGCAGTTTAAGCTGATCGAGAAGGCCTGTCAGTTTTCTCATCCTTTTGCACTTTTTACACACACACAGAAACACTTCCACCTCAATGTACATATTCTCTCTATCTCTCAAACACACACATACACAGAGCTCTCTCACTCATGCTATTAGTGCTCAGTGCTCCAGCCAGCAAAAACACCCTTTAATTGTCAACAGCTCTGTGGGGGAAAGTTTCCACCAAAACATTCCTGTGCAGCCTCCACACTCAAATAGGCAGCCGTTGGATAGGCCCTGTGAATCTGATATATGCATGTATGAGCAGCTTTGTCTGCCGTTGTTCTGCCTCTCACCCTAGTGAAAAAGCTCAAAAGTACTTTTAGTGAAACCACAGTGGTTTGTTTAGTACATCTTTGCCTTGCTGACTGCCATACAGGGATATTATTAGTGATGCACTGATCTGATACACTGAATCGGTATTGACACCTATACTGATCTTATTTAATGGATCGGGTATCGACCAGACGTGAACGATTCACTGTCACTACTGTTTCTTAAACACGGTTGCTCTAAAATGGAAGAGTGACATTGCAAATTGAGATATACATCAAATTATCACTTCCCATTTTTATTAATGGAACTGAATGCTCTACATGCATATAATTGTGAATGATCACATTATAGGCAAGCGTGAAATGAGATGAACCGTGGAATGCACCTTGTGTTTTTCCACAAAGCATTGCAGCATGTCAAAATAAAACCTCTCTACACAAAGCACATTGGAAAAATAATTGGAAAAGAGGAGAGGCCTCTTAGCTGCGCCGTACCACAGGTCATGCAGCCGAGCACTACTGGTCCAGGCAGCCCCACAGCTGCAGTACAGCGTCAACTAAGTAGCCAGCCCAGGCTGCGATGTCATAGGTCTCCAGTCCAGAGAGCCTCGTAGTCGTGATACAGCGTCACTCAAGCAGCTGGTCCAGGCTGCATCATAGGTGTGATGCCAGCCCAAGAAGCCTCTCAGCCACAGTTGAAAAATCGCTGTCAGCCACTGTCTTGGTGGACATGATGACAAACTCCTCAGCCAGCAGGGAAACATTAAAACATACACACAAACAATACAAAACAAAAAAACATTATGAAGCGGCAGCCATATTGCGCCAGCATACTTACAGCGGAGTGCACACTCATGTTTTACAAATACTAATTACCAAAATGTCCCTAAAATAGATGTTTTGGAATACATTTTTCAATTCTAATAGCTCATTATATGATGTATGCAGATTTTAAATAGAAGAAGAGAAAAAAATAGCAAACATTAGTACTTAGTATTGGCTGATAGCCTAAATTCAGGTATTGGAATCAGTATCGGGATAGAAAAGGTTGGATCGAAGGATATTTTGACATTAGTTCAACTTTAAATTCAGCATTTAAATTGTGTTTTTTTTTTTTATCATGAACAAATTCAAATAGGAGTGATGAATGTTTGGCATTTTTTTTGTATCTGTTTTTGTTTGTCTCTTTTTATTTACATGCGTCTCATTGTGTGTGTTTTTTGTGGTAAGGAGCCTCGGCTGCACCGTGGTGGAAATGCTGACGGAGAAGCCCCCTTGGGCAGAATATGAGGCCATGGCGGCCATTTTTAAAATAGCCACTCAGCCGACTAATCCCATGCTGCCCTCCCATATCTCGGAACAGACTCGAGATTTCATCCGCCGCATCTTTGTGGAGGCCAAGCTCAGGCCCAGTGCGGAGGAGTTGCTCAGACACCCCTTCTCCCAAATCCTCTGCTGAAGAACCCACTCTGCCTAAGGCCTAAAAAAACGGACATCTGGGCCAAGGACTCAAGTGATGATCACAAAGCACAACTCCAGAGGCAGTCTACACTCCATTTTGAATAGAATGTGTGAACTGCCATCATGCAGTCAGCAGCTAACAGATTCAGTTCTCAAATCTGGCTGTAGAAGACAGTCTTTCAGTGCTGGCTCTATAACAGCAGGGGGCGACAAAGGACACTTGAGTGCTGCAGCAGGCACTTTTTTCTAAGAAATTCAACAGTATGTATTGACAAAATGGTAGATCACCTGAATGGCTTCTTACTGGACTCTACTTTTCAAAACACCATCTGTGCCTTCTGAAACCAAGCTGCTAAAGCTTAAACTCTTAAATACAAGGTGAACGCTGACCCTTTGACTGTTGTGGAAAGGCACGAGGCACGAAGGCAACAAAAGATCATTCCCAAAGACTGGTTGTTTTTTATAGTACATCCAAATTAGTTAGGTTTAGGTTTTGACTGAAGTCCTAGGAGCTCTAGGACCTGTTGTGTGACCTGAAGGCTTCTTCATAAGCTGCCAGTGTTGTTGTATCTGTGCCTCTGCTGGAGACGTACAGTTTTTAGGGATGAATTTTTATTTCTGCATGTTCTCTTGACTATGCTAGTTTCATATGACTGTAAGATGTGTTTCACACATACTACCTCTGCGTGGCTTGACTTTATTTTTGTTTTGGTGCTCATGTTAACAGGTTACAGCAGGGAATGCCAGTGTTATCCACTGGTGTGGCTACAGCTTCTGCTTAGTTGGAATGAAAGCAGTGCAGCACTGCATCCCAGACACATCCCAGAGGAGGCAGTTACACTGTTGAGCCTATTTTATCGGCAAAGTACAGTGAAATCAGCTATAAAAGCCAACGAAAACAAAACTCTGAACCAAATATTTAAATGGTAAAACTCTATGATCCCTACTTATTATCATATGAACTGTAGCTGTAGCTGTAGCAGTCATGTCACGCAGAGGTACATGTGAAAAAGGCCTAAGGTTGAGCTCCCTCAGTCATAGCAGCACTGGCTTAGTTGCCCATTCATTGATGGAGAGGTTGAGCCATTTGTGCCTGATGCATAAAACAACCTGTCCCAGCTGTGTTTCGGTTGTTATAGCTTCTTTTTCGCCCTTTAAAGGCTGCTGTCCTTTGACTAAATGCTCTTTGTGACAGGGTATGTAGTTTTAGTTAGACAATGAACTCTGTCTTCCACTTTTTCCATAGTACCTGAGAATTCATACATGCAAAGTTCTTAAGACTGAAAAAAGCATATTTAATTTTGGTCAAGACTTTGCTTTGTACCCTTTTCATAGTTAGGCTACGTTGCATTGTGTTGGCTCCTGTAGAGGGCACCATCTGAGTGCTTTAGAAGCAGCTACTATAACTCAGAATAAGCCAAATAACACGTAAGGGCTGTAAAAATGATATTTCTTGCCAGATTATAAACTGGTTAGATTGGCTAAGGAGGTTTAAGGTGTTAAAAGCACATTAGGATTTCAAGCTGATTATTTTTTAATATTTTTTTTTCTGGTCTTCCTGAACGCCAGTCGAAAGAGATTTAGGGAACGTCTGATGTATGGAAGTGTTGTGCCTTAAAGCTTGACGTGGCAGTGTTTTGAACTCCTTTGGATCAGATGCACTTTTGTAAAATGAATGTTGTTGTATTTACCAAATTTTTTTCATATTTTACCAAATTTTTCATAATGTGAAATCTCTTTTATTTATATCCTAGTGCGCAGCCATCTTTTTATATACACAAATATTCATGTATAAATATATATATTTTTATATATGGACTCTAGACTATTTGAAATAGGTTGATGTCTTTTGGAATATGAAACATGAGACGAGATGTTAGAAACTAGAACAAAAAAAAAAACAACAAATGAAATCGTGTAAGCAGCTGGTTTTGCAGAGATTTACAGCGTTTTAGTGCATTTCGAGGTGGAAAAACGCACTCTGGCTGTCTCTGAACTGAGCAAAGCAGAAACCTGTTTGCGTGTGTATGCATGTTTGTGTGTCTGAGCAGTGAGAAGAAACAGATCCTGATTCTGTTAGTGGTTCAAGGCTGCAAGTGATTATTTCGAGAATTTTTTGATTTATTACCATATCAAATCATTATGCCTTCTGCATTTTTATTCTCACATCATGGCATTGCCATCATTTAAAGTTGCTATTAATCTCAGCTAGACACCTGTAACAGTACACATTTTGAGCTTTGATGTGATTTTCAATTCTGAGATTAAGATTTGATTCAATTAGCTTTAAAAATGTCATGTTAACTTTAACCAAAGATCACAGCTGCTAGAATTTCTAAGCGACTTCAGAAAAAATACATAGTGGTAGCCACATCCCCTCACAGCCCAGTTTGCAATGATAGGACAAACCCAAACACCTAGTCAACAGCAGTTTCCACAGAAGACAGTTAATGAGAGTGACAGTAGAAGAGTTTTACACCATTAACTGTTGTATAGCCTGGTTTAGAATGTTGAGAGAGAGAGAGAAATGAGAGATTTTGAGGGTTTTAGAAAGTGATGTACCTTTTTATTGCATGTAGAATGAGTTTAGTCAATATAAGCATGCGGGATTAGGTATAATGTGTGAAAGTGCTGAACGATGAAGTGAATTAGAGGTGCTGCTCAGGTATCAGGGCAGTTAGACGCCAGAGGGCGGAGTTCCACTCAGCTTGACGACTTTGTTTAGCTCAGGGTTTGAGTGACAGGTGCCCAACATGCGGGCACGCACACGCTCTGACCAATCAGTGTCTGCTTTTGTTTTTCCACTTCTGCCCTTCCTTCTTTTTCTTCTGTAAAAAGGAAAGACCTCCTCCAAACGTATCTTTTATGAATGGATCAAGTGAGATACAATATGGCTGCTACATGTTTTGGGCAGCTAGATATTAATATTGATATCAAACTTACAGATTCAGCCTTAGAGGAACGTCAAAGTTTTTTTTGTTTTGTTTTGTTTTTCTTATAGTATTTTTGTTTTGAATTGTGAAAACCCTGGGGTAAGCAAAAGACTATGAACCATTAGGTTAAATATATATGAATATGTATCTTGACGTGGGACTTGCAGTGCAAAGTCCAATGTATCAAAGTTATTTACTTTTAATAAAATAACTGTATGCCCAGTTATGTTTTTTTCTTCATTTAATATGCGGTTATTTGTTGGTTTTATCATTTTTTGGATAATATTGCTCATGTATCTTTGAAGATACAGTACCAGTCAAAACTTATTTCGGGACATCTTGATCCAAATCCTTGTGTTAAATGTTTTAAGTGTGATTGAAGTTGGAGTCTATGTATAAATTAGACATTTTTTGTGAAATTTCACATTCGCAAATTTTAATTTCCATTGATGCCACAGCCGTCCAAACCAGGAGCCCAAAAGACGCACGTTTGTGCTCTCTCTCTCTGGGCGGGTAGAGTGGTCGTCTCTCTCCCCCTATGACTGAGAGCACTGCTAGCCAACGTGGGCGGCAGTTAGCTGACGTCACAGAGCTGGCAGTTAGTGTTCTCCTCCAAGCATGTTGAACTATTCAGTGATGCAGCGTTAGTGGCAGTTTGAAAAAAATGTGGTGCTGCTTAATGTGTTTCGGAGGTAGCTTGTGCTGGCCTTCACTCTCATACTCTACTCTCTTGGAAGCGTAATGTGATAGGAGGAGACCCAGCTATTGGGTGGCATTAGACACAATTAAATTGGGGAGAAAATAGAAAAAATGCAAAAAAGAGCATAACACGGTTATAAAATTTGTTAAAAATGTTGTGACTTCTCAACCAATTTTAAAAATATATTGATTCAAATTTGCTTTTTTGATAAAGTGTCAGTAATTGAGAATTTACGCAATAATGCATATTTAAAATTCTGAAACAGAGCCTAATGCACAGGCACATATACGTTTTTTGCATCATTATATTTTAAGCAGAGGCTTCCTTTTTTATTTCTGAGTATTTTTGAATTTATGAAAGGCAATGTATGTATTATTGTTCAGTGATGTCTGCTACTGTCCTGTGCCTCTTTTTATAAGCTTCACTACTAATTTTCCAGTATAATCCATAGTGATGGCTCTATTTTACTGCTATTCTAAACTGTGATTTAAACGTCTGATACTATACCTGTAAGAGTGTGTGAGCGCTGTGGTCTGGCTGACAGTGTGCTGCTGAGCTGCTTGGCAGGGTCGTCTCGGTCTCTGTCCGTGTTGGAGTCAGTGTAAAGCTGCCACAGCACTAAATAACAGACTGACTTTATGAATAGACTCTATTGTGACATCAGTAAAGAAGCTGCTCAATTGATGCTTTTCTTCTCTCCTCTTCTTCTCTCTGTGAAATAAATGGGTAGATGGAGTGAGAGAGAGACACATTAACGTCAGATGGAAGGAGAACTACACAAAGGTTCCTTTACGTGACTGGTGTAAACGGCCTGATGGCTTTGCTGTTGCTGCTTTATTGCTCTGTTTTTCTCCAGATACAGTTTGATGGCCTTGGAGTCCCATGCGGTGAGGGAAGAAGACCACTATCCTGCAGAGCCGTAGACTCCAGTGAAATCATAAGCAGTGCAGAAATAATGTGGCAGTTTATGGATTCATTTATGGTATGTCTATTTATAGGCATTTATGCTATGCTTCTGACAGTTTACAGCCACATTGCTCTGTAGATCCACTTTACAGGATAAATTTATCAAACTCTCATTACATACGCATGTACAGATATATATCTGGATGATGCTTGCTGAGGGATGGGGGAGAAGGAGGACCATCCTACCCACCCAAAGAGAGCAATAGGCTTTACTGAATAGGTTTTACTGAAAAATATAAAATGCAGAAATTGACATTTTAGCACAGCATTGAGTAAACGTTGCTCTGTTCTTTCAGGGTACCATAAATGTGTAATTTATTTTTAATACAATATTTTTTAGGCCATTATCTGGCAATACCGACAAATTGTGTATCATCTTGGATTCCTAGTCTGAAGTGTGAAACTATTTTATCACACTAGGACTGCAGATCTTACATTCTTCATTTTTCACTTTAAAAAAGAAAAATCCTACCACTGTGGTTTGTATGTGGGCAGCAGGGAAGAAAGCAAGAGCCATTCATTTGGATTATGTGTGAATCTCCTTGGGGCCAGAGGATAATCACCAAATTATGCCCAGTAAACACTCTTATGTGTCTGTTTCCTCTGTTTACATTCATTTTTTTGATGTGTATCAGTGATAATTACGAAAAACATTTTAGGCATGCCAGGGTCAGCATATATGAGCCACTCTACTGAAACTGTGTGAATTAGTCCCACAGTAGCCAAATTATTTAAAAAAAAAAACAATTTAAATAGTTCAATTCAGACCTTATACGTTTACATGAATGGTGTTATGATCTATTTAGACCCAAAGCATCTGTTAAGATAATAAGCTAAATATATACAAAATCATGATTTACGGGTTGTTTTCTATTGGGAGGTGGCTGTCCCAAACCCTAACCTCTACTTTTACACTTATACTTTTTTCATTTTTTAGTTTTTTTGATTTCTTTTAAAATTAAGTTGAAAGATTTAGATTTATGAGTTTAATTTTTAAATAAGAAAAATTTATTTTAAAAAATGCTGTCCCGTGTTTTCATGTTACTACTGAAACACAGAGTTTTAGTCCATAGGTGGAGCCTTATTTAAGCCACGCCCTTGCATTTTAGAGCAGGAAGTGAGACTGTATTTCTGTCCCTTGTGGCCACGTGATGAGCAGATTCCATTGTTTTGAAGTAAACGTGTCCCAGTGTGTGAAAATCAGTGTGAAAAATTAAGAATTGTCACTCCCTAAACACATTTTCTGCAATTAAGTAAACTTTTTTTGTGTTATAATGAAAATATGGATTTTATGTGTGTACAACTATTCAAAGCGATGTTTGTTAGTCATTTACGGCTAGTGTTTTTGAGTTCTGTTAAAAAAAAACAAAAGTCGCTACCGAAATGATCACTACTAAGCATTTAATAAAGTTTCTGTGGTGTTATGATTGTTTTGGTAGTGACAAAACAGAATCTTCAATCATGTGTTTTGATAAAATAAACATAATTAAAAGACAAGGTTACTCAGAGCAAAAGGGTTTAGTCTGAAGTCCAAGTCAGATCACGTATGAAATGGGTTCTCAACTCTGAACTAATTTTGTAGAATGATCCATATACCCTCTCCTTTTCCACTTCATCTTAGTCCATTTTAAACGAGCCTGGGCCCAGAGAAGGCGGCGGCGTTTCTGGATCCTGTTTATATATGGTTTCTTCTTTGCATGTGAGAGTTTTAACTTGTATTTGTAGATGCAGCGGCGAGCTGTATTCGCAGACCGTGGTTCTCGGAAGTGTTTCTGAGCCTGTGCAGTGATTTTGTCTGTTCTTAAGGCAGTGCCACCTGAGGGCCTGCAGTCTTTCACAGAGTGGTGAACCCCTCCCCATCTTTACTCCTGAAAGACCTCTCTGAGATGTTTTTTTATACCCTATCATGTTACTGACCTGTTGCCAATTATCCTAATTAGTTGTGAGATGTTCCGCCAGGTGTGTTTTTAGCATTACACTACTTTACCCATCCTTTGTTGCCCCAGTCCTAACTTTTTGAAACATGTTGCTGGCATGAAATTCAAATTGAATGTATATTTTTCCAAAAACAATAATTTTCTCACTTTCAATATTTGATATGTTGTCTTTGTGCTATTTTAAATTAAATATAGGGTTTAAATGATTTGCAAATCATTGCTTTGTTTTTATTTTAATTTTGCACAGCGTCCCAACTTTTTTGGACGTGCGGGTGGAAAGGCACAACTACTTTTGTTTCTCTGTACACACATTTTTTTTCTATCATACAATATTTTCATCAGAGCTGTGTATGTGTTTTTGTCCTGTCTAACTGGAGCAGGCCAGTATTCTTCCTCAGTATTAGCCATTTAATTGAGGCAGGCCAGGGGGTCTGTCTACTGCATTGTGAACAGACTGAGCTTTGGACGGCCCAGTGCTGAGTCATTCCATTCCCCAAAGTACACCAGCACTGACCCCCATTTATCCTCAGCAGTCTGAATTGGATGACATGACATGTAAACTATGTTGAAGCCTGCTCATGTTTTGTGAATATAAAATGAATAGTTGAGATTTGCTCTCAATTTTTATCTGAACTTGAGCAACGGACTCTCACACAGCTCAAAACAGTAGGAGAAACCACATAAGCAGTTTGAGGGTTTGGAGACCTCTCTGGTGGAAAGGTATAATTGCAGGCAATGTACAGAAGAACGTTTTATAATGTTGGTTGTCCTTCGGACCCCTTCCCTGAGTGGATTTGGTCTCATTTGGACTTGGTCTCATCTCGGTCTCAAGAATACTTGGACTCAGTCTCATCTTGGTCTTCTCATCACCCGGTCTTGTCTCAGTCTCAACATGATTTGGACTCAGTCTTATTTCAGTCTCAACATGATTTGGACTTGTTCTTGTTTCAGTCTCGACATGATTTGGACTTGGTCTTGTCTCAGGCTGAACACGATTTGGACCCGGCCTTGTCTCAGGCTGAACACGATTTGGACTCGGCCTTGTCTCAGGCTGAACATGATTTGGGCTTTGTCTTGTCTCGGTCTCAACACGATTTGGATTCGGTCTTGTGTTAGTCTCAACACGATTTGGACTCGGCCTTGTCTCAGGCTGAACATGATTTGGACTTTGTCTTGTCTCGGTCTCAACACGATTTGGACTCGGCCTTGTCTCAGGCTCAACATCAATACTGATGTTGATGGCTAATCTTATATCAATATAGCTAAAAATGAAATGAAGGATGGTAAAATGAATGTAAAAAGAAGTCAGTTTCATCTGAAGGTCTGAGATATTACTGAGAAACTGAATTTGAGGCTGTATAAATTGTTACTATTAATACTGAAAGACATTCAACAAAGCTATACTTTTGAAATAAGCTAGTAAGCTAAGAGATGAGAGTTGATCTTACTGTGTCAGAGGAGTTTCTGTTTTTGTCAGTTAGGCACTGAATGCCTGTCTTCAGCTGGAGTAGGTGGTTGAAATGGCATGTGGCTTCTCTTAGCATGTTATCAGCTTTATGAGAGTGGTAAGCTGCTGCCTCAGAGCAGACAGTTCATTTTACCAGCCAGAGAGCTGTAAC